TGGCGGATGCCAGCGTGGCCGCGTGTTGCTGGGAGATGAGCTCGCTGTCCGAAGACTGCTTCAAAAGTGGGTCCCTGAAAGTAACTGGCCCCTTGCTGAGCTGGGACTTGAGTTTTGGCTTTGGAGGCACTGGTGGCTTCTCGAGTATAAAAGTTTGTCCATCCGCAAAGGAAGTGTAGGTGTCCGTGGGCTCTCCGCTCTCTGACGACAGCGTCGACATGCTGGAGACCGTGGAGATGGTGCTTGTGGTCTCCAGGTGGTGATCGCTCGAACTTCTGGTGTCCACCTCTTCCACTCCTGAGTCTGCTGCAGACTCGGGGGCCGCAGGGGCATCAGAGGGCTTCCCTGAGGGTGTTCCGCCGGCGGGAGAAGGTGCTACTGCTGCCGCTGGTATGGTGGGCGGAGCCAGGAGGCTCACGGGTGTGCCAGGGGTGGTCACCAGGACCCCGTTCGCAAACTCGTCTGGAGGTGGCACCAACCCTATCTTGGCCAGCTCCTCCCTGGTCTCCTCATCGCTGGAGGACAGCTGAGCCGGGGGGAGGGTGACCGTGTAGGGCTCCGCTTCTTCCTCTGAACTGCCTTGGCCCAGAGCTTTGTCGGAGACCGGGCTTACCGGGGGCTTCCCCACGGGGCTGGGCTGGGGCTCGGCCTTGGGGGACTCAGAGGGCTCTGTGCATGCTTCGGGGACCGCGGGGGTCTCCTCTTTGATCTCAAGTCCTATCTCGTCTTGGCCATTACTGGTGGCGTGAACCATAATGAGGCCAGCGGTCTTCTGCTGCGACGTGTCCACGATGCTGATGATCATGGACTTCTTGTCCTCTGGTTTCTTCTCCTCCTTGCCTGGCATCTCCGCCCGTGCCTCGGTCTCTTTCCTCAGTGTGGATGGAGTCCCCCACGGGCTCTTGACGGGGGTCAAAGCCCCAGGATCTGCTCCCATCATTCCCTTCCCTCCGGGGGAGTAGGCAGGGGACATCAGGCTCTCCAGCTCCCCCCTCTCTGGTTCTTTGGTTTGGATGTCCACAAACAGGGGTGCTGCTCGGTCTGAGTCGGGGCTGTGGATCGGGGTGGGCGACCTGGACGGGACCTGTGAGGACAGTGCCCGTTCCCTTGCGGCCAGCGCAAGCGCCAGAGGCGAGTTCGGGTCCAAGGGCTTCCCCGTCAGGGGGTGGATGAAGGTTGAGGATGAGCTGCTGATCAATGGCTTTAAAGCTGAGACGGGGGAAGGCAGGAGGACGTCTCGGCTTCCTAACAACCTCTCATCGATGGACCTGGACTGCTGCAGGGAGGGCATCTCGCTGCTGGGCGGCACTGGCCCCTCGATGGCCCCCACAGACAGGAAGACAGTAGATTTCCGCCGCTCATCCAGGCGTCGGTCGCGGTCCTTCATGACCCCAGCGATGGCAGTGGCGAAGGGGATGCTCGTGGCCTCGACCTGAGCAATGCCTCCGTGGTGCTGGTCCTCCACCCCACCCAGTCGGTGGCTCCTGCGCGTGGGAGAGGGCTCCCTGCTGCTGTAGCCCCCGGTGATGGCCAGGGCTGCTCTTTCCTGAGCGTCCTCCACCTGCAGCTGCTTCACCAGAGGACTCTTCTTCCTCTGAGGCTTGGTGGGAGCAAAGAGGCTGACATTGAACTGCCCCATGTTGGCGTAAGGGTTGTCGATGACTCGGCCCTTCCTCTTGAGCTTCTCTGGAGGGGTCGCAGAGGGGCCAGGCCTGGGGATCTCTGTTGGCTCCACAGGGAGATGGGAGGAATCCTGGAGGATGATCATGGATCTGGCCCTCTTCTGCCTCTCGGGGTAAGGGATGGAAGTCCTGGTCTGGTCGTACATCTCAGCTGCACTAATGACCTGGGGGAGGCCGTGGAGTTTGGCCTCCAGGCTTGGCTTAAAGCTTGATCTGATGGTGTCATAAGCTCTTCCGGGGGGTGGAGGTGGTGAGAAGGATGGAGGAGGCCCTGTGTCTAAGTAGTAGGGAGAAGGAGGAGGGGGTGGGGCTGTCTGGGGGGGTGGTGGAATTCCATGGCCTTCCCTAACTGTGTCTTGCATGGATGTGCTCCGGGGAAACTTCCCGTCCAGCAAAGAAGCAGCGAGTTTCTCGTCTTCTCCTGGAGAACAACAGCAGGGAGGTGAGAGAGGATATTCCAGAGATCCCAGAGGGTGACAGTCACCTCCCACCCCGCTGCCCGCACCTCAAGGGGCTCCAAGAGAGCTGCAGAGGGACTTGGGACAAGGCCTGGAGGGGCTTTAAGCTCCCTCCAACCTTACCCATTCCATGACCCTCTGGGCGTTTCACCCTGTCCCTTTGCTCCTCATCCCTCACAGCATGTCCCACTGCTTTCCTTCCACCAGGCAGTTGTGCCCAAGCCTTCCCAGCCATGCTGAAGGCTCCGCAGTGACAGAGCTGCAGACATGCTCCATCAAACCTCCTGGCACCACCTGCCAGGGTGACAGACAGCGAGTGCCACCAGCCCCACAGGAGGCTCAGCCCTCACACCTCCCTGTCCCCTGAGCATCCGAGCGCCAGACTGAGCTCAGCAGGGTCTAGCAGCAATTCAAGTCACATTGGAAGCACCCAAGGAAGTCAGATTCCACCAGGCTGACTAGGAACTCACTCCCTGAAGGCACAACCAGAGCTTCTGCAGGGACTGGGAGTATTCCATGGAGAGTGAAGGTTTTAAAGGAAGCAGAGGAAAAATGGGGGTTGGAATGGATGGTCTTTAAGTCCTCTTCCAACCCAACCCAATCTAAGCCATTCCATGATCCTAAATCCCATTAATACAACAATCCCCTTCCCCTACACCCAACCTGGAGCTCTCCAACCTTCAACTTCAACCCAAGCTCATCCCGCTCCGCCGTGCTCACCCCTTGCTGGCCAAACCTTCCCCGTCCACATCCAGCTCTTCTCAAGGTCTCAAGCTGCTCCTGAAAGGACTTTGCCTCTTTTTTTGGCCCCTTTCTGACTCTAAAGCTTACAGGACAAGCTCTTTCCATACCATCCACCAGCTCCGAAGAGCTCTGGCAACTGCGTCCTGTCCCCGTCAGCAATTCCACCCAAGCCCTGCCCAGTCCAATGCGGACAAAAGGGAGGATTCTGGCACTACATGTCCATGCCATGCTGCTGTTCCAGGTTATTTTTGGTGGCTACAGCGTGAGGATAATGGCCCAGCAGCATGGAGCAGGTTCAAAGGGAGCCTGGACAAAGCTGTGGAGGATGTGCTGTATTTGGGCTGTTTTATTCCCTGGAACTCCTGAGAGAAGGGAATTGAGGAGACTGATCCCATCCTTGCCCTGTTTTCCCAGGGAGCAGCAGTGCCTGGGCTGGGATCCTGCACTAGATGGAGCCATGGGTTGAGTTAGCAGCACTGGGATCCAAAGAAATAGTCCTGGATTTGGCGTTATTTCTGGGAATGGCCACAAAAAAGGATATTTAGGAGCACTGAGCTCCTGGGACGGCACAGGACATGGACCAGTACCAGGAGAGCTTGTCCTGGGAATGTGCTGCCCAGTCTGGGGACTGGCACAGGTGTGCCAAGCACAGAGATACAGCAGGGAATGGAGTGGGAAAGATGGATCCTCCTTCTGGAATGTCCTGGTTGGGGATGCCAGAGCAGGGGAGATACCAGGACACCACCACATCCCACTCTGCTCCATTACTCCTTAAATCAGGAGGAGACACTATGGAAAATGATAGCCAAGGCACTGACTATGGAAAACCACATCCAGGGCACTGCCAAGTGCAGGGAACACTATGGAAAAACCACATCCAAGGCTAGGCCAAAACAATCTTGTCTCAAAATGACCTTGCTGGGAATGGCCAAGCAGGAACCCCAGGAATTCCAACAGGAACTGATCCCAAGTTCCACACCAGAGTAGAAGGAACTTCTGCCACCTGGGGAGCAGTTTGCTGGTTAGGAATTCCAAGGAGAAGCCTGTGGAGGGGTTGGTGGGGGACCAAGAGGCAGTAGGGAAAAGCTGCCATGAGAGGTTCTGGTTGGAGAAATGGGGAATTCTATCCCAAGGGCAGCCAAGCAGTGGGACAGGCTGGGACAGGCTGCCCAGGGAGCGAGTGTGACCCCTGTCCTGGGAGGGACAGCCCAGACTGGATAAATCCCTGAGGAACACAACCATGTTCCAGCTGTTTGGAGATGGAGGTTGCACTGGAGACCTCCTGCTCCAACCTCAGCTGTCCTTGGATCATCTTTGACCATTTCTACAACCTGAACCTTGAAATAGTGGGAATAATCCCTGGTCCTGGGAAAACAACCATCTCC